TTTTAACTTTAGCGAAGATATACTTGACCTTTGGTGTTGGATGTACAGCTTTCAATTGAAATGTCTCTTTTATAACCCCTCAGTTGCACTTTGTTAAAGCTTCACCTGCATAGGCTCAAAAAAGTAAAGACTCATAGTAAAATTCATTTGCTAAAATAAGCGCTAATGTGTCATAAATGATTATCCACCTGGGTAGTCGACGATTGCAATGACGACTTCTTCGTAGGTGATCTACCTTGTAAAGGTGCGACAGGGGGGGGGGGGGGGGGCGGGAATTCAATCGATCCGATTATCCCATGAGAGGAAGACAAATCTTTAGAGTTCCCATTAGACATTTGGACAATTTTATTCACGTTTCGAGTCATTTTCTTATCTTTAATGACACCCATGAGGTCTTCCAGTAGCCGTGTTATGTTGCGATCTATGATCAATGTGACCTGATGTTTGGTGATGGTGGTTGAAGTTGTGCAGATGTATTGGTGACCGTTGCATCTTAGTGAGGGCTGGTTCATATTGCACGTCATCACTATTCTCTAATGGCCCATTCGTGGTAGAAGTTGAATTTCTTGTAATCAATTCTTATCCTCTTCTTCAACATTTTCAAATCAGCGTAGGATAAAGGGGATTTGTTGAATACCTGCCTTGCCGTGTACGAACATGTAACAGGGGGCGGAGGAGTTTACCGCTCACGAATAAAGACTGATGACGCATTGGCCAACGGCCACGTCTGTCAAACCATAGAGATAATGGAAGCACTGCAAATTGGTGCACACTCTTATTACCAGTATAAGTGGTGTAGTAGGAACGTGTTTAAAATGCCTTCCGTTTAGTTAGATCATGAATTTGGCGGTCTGTTAAAATGTCCGATGTGACTGTGCATTAGTATTCAGTCTATTTGGGGTTTTCTGGTATCTTTCATTGGAAATTTCTAAGGATTAATCAAGTTCGAATCCATTCCCATTTTGTAAAGGTCAATCTGGAATATCTGTCTCTGGCAATCTTTTCGACAAACCTGCCGCTCCGCCCAGTGGTCTCTTTGGTAAGTGAATTTGATCAATCAATCGATCGATCGCGTTTTTTCCTATTTGGGCGGTTTGCAAATGTTTTGTATCACTCTTTAATTTAGGCCAATCTCCGACCACGACTGCCGTCAGTTCTCCAAGCGGACTTTTTGGTAGGCTTCAGTGTTTTTTAATAGCCCCGTCTATTTGCTCATTTTGAGTTATTTGCGATGAGGTGGGAAGCGGGGAGGGGGGGTCTATGTAATTATTGCAGCACTAGAAGTAGAAGCTGGAAGGTAGCCTATCATAATATAGAGCCTTCATTAAGTATCTTTTGAATAACGCTATGGAATGATTGCACATTCCAAAATTTGGCCTTGTTGACACCACATTCCCTATGATAATTCGTAGCTTTTTGTCAATGGAATTGCATTGATGTCTTTATGTCTCCAGGTCCCACGTCTCTTGACGTGATCTCGTCTATTCCCATTTTTTTCTTTTACTGTCCGTTCCTCACTTAATGGTGCATTTGTACTTATTTTCCTTGGGGTGTTTGCCCAACTGACTCGTTCGACCTTTCCCCCTCCCCCCCCCCCCCCCCCCCGGNCGTTCGCCCTTTCCCCCCCCCCCCCCCCCCCCCCCCGTGTGCAAACATACAGACACATACGATTGTCGGAAATCTGTTTCTTCCTTTTCCTCTCTCATCCCACTCTTGGACGCTTCGGTTTTAGTTCTCATTTGGGTCCCCAACAGCTCGACTCTTCTCTTTGCTCAAACACACTTCTGCACTTGTGATTAGGGCACTCTGTGTTCCTGCGTTTGCTTGCTTTGGCCAAGAGACACAATATGCAGCTCTCATTCACGAGTAGAATTCATAAATCCTTAATTGTATTCAAACTTACGATTCTTCACTGTTTCCATGCATGTTCATCTCAAGTTAATTGATTAAGGAGAGTTGCTTCCCGCGCCAAATTCGCTGCCAACTTAAATTACTTGAGCCTGTTTAGATTAATATTATTTGCTCTCACACTTACCTCCATGAAAACTCGGATACATGCGTTTCACTGAAGATTCTAAGTTGTTTTACTTCAGACTTATAAGTCACGTCACACACTCTAGAAGGTTGTTCGAGTTGGAATATTTCGCTTTACGCGCACCATTTGAGACTCTTTCTCTCTCTTCTAGGACAACCAACTGCTACGACCACAACTACAGCAGCTTCTGGCAGCTTATTTGGTAAAATCATTTTCTACCTTCAATTGATATCTTCTTCCATATTTCCGATTAATGATGCCTACTGATTCGATTAAGTAGTTATCTGATTTGGTTTAAATTTTGTTTAGGACAAACATCTACTTCAAAAGGCCTATTCGGTGCGTTTGGTGTCACATATATTTAGCTCTGTTCTTTGCGGTCTAACCAATAACTATAAATCTGATGTGTGTGCAATGTAGGCCAATCATCCACTGCGCCAGTTTCACAGTCTGGCGGTTTATTCGGTCAGTCGTCGCCGGCTGCTCCAAATCCTTCACAGTCCGGGGGATTGTTCGGTGAGTGTTGGTTGGAGGTTCACCAGCTTTGTGAATTTAATTGCTGCAAATGACAAGCTTTTGATTAGTTATCATTTAATCGTTGCTTTGTGTATTTGCACTTTCAAAGCATTTAGTCTTCCTATTTTCTATTTTTTTAAATACTTTTCAAGGCCAGGCCTCAGCTACTCAACAAACAGGCTCTCTTTTTGGTAAATGATTGCAACTTCTTTTTCTTCTTATTCGTTAGGTGTTAATTTATTTTCAATTATTGATTTTTTTGCTCATTTTAGGTCAACCACCTCCTCAGTCCTTTGGCTTGTTTGGTATTATTTTTTAATGTGTTTCATAGTAATTATACCTTTCTGGTAATTGTCTTCTCTCCTTCTCTTTTAGGATCATCTACAGCCAACACTCAAGCAACAGGAGGTCTCTTTAGTAAATTTTAAAGCCACTACTTCTTTGCTTACTGATAATCAGTGTTGCTAGAAAATGACGTTTCCTAATAATTACCCCCCCCCCCCCCCCCCCCCCCCTCCCCTTTAGATCAATCATCGCTGACTCCTGCTAGTCCTCCTTCTGGTGGTGGACTATTCGGTATAAAAGAAGTCTCCTGAATACTACTTCTCCAACTCCCTTTTCATATAATCATCTCTCTTTTCTCTCCTCTTTTTAGGCCAATCTCCCACTGTTGCAACTTCTGCCACAGGGGGTTTATTCGGTTGGTTTTCTTGATGATTTCTTTCAATTTTATAATGACTCTTATTTTCATTATTCTCACCTCGCAAATTTTAGGCCAATCAACTGGTGGTGGCTTATTTGGCCAGTCAAGTGCTCAGTCGTCAAGTGGTGGATTATTCTGTATGGGAAAGAGTAATTTTCTCTTCGGTTTATTGATATTAAGGTGGCTAATTGTCGTCAATTAATTGTTGCAGGCCAATCGTCGACCAACACCGGTGGAGGTACAACTAGCGGTGGTCTTTTCGGCAAGGCGTTCTTCTTCTTCTTCTCTTTAAATCATTTTTGTCTCTTTATTGGCTCTCAATAATGATTTGTACTCTGCACTTTTCAGGCCAAGTTCAGTCTCCACAAACTACCCAATCCCAGGGCCTCTTTGGTAAATCTCATCTCCGATTGGTTGTCTGTTGACTATTTTTTTTGTTTTTTCCTCCAATCTCATGGAAAAGCGTTATAATAAGGAGTAGAGCAAGCAACTCCAAGAAGGTGGGGGAATGGGGGGGGGGGAGATATTCGAGCATTTTTTTAGGTCATACTTTCAAAGATTCAGCATTCATTCATCGGTTATTTCATGAGGAGAGGTAGGTGGGATTAGTCAGCATTATAGGACAACATGTTTCCTTGAGTTTAAAATGAAATGCCAGCAGTTGGAGGTAGGCCAACATAACTGAAACTACTGAGAATAAAATGCGGAATTAGTAAACATCGAAGGCATGTTGATGAGTAAGAACGTCGCTGCAGAACTGGGTCATCGATGTTTTTTAGAATATATATATATATTGAAATATTTATTCGATTGATCAAATGGGTGGTTTTCTCTTTCTTTAACTAATTTCAATGCTCATGTTTTGTTTTCGAGATTTAATTTCAGTGGTCGAGGTATAGGCTGAATTTGAAAGGAAAATGACTATCCCTTTACCAGTACTTAATTTACTCTTTAGTGACTGCTCATAATCTGTGGGAAAATAGATTTTAACCCGGGGGGGGGGGTTGTCATATTTTGACTTCGCACTGGTCATCCTTACTGTCGCGGAGTCACAGAGCTCAAAATTTAACAGCTCTTCTCATCATGCCTCCTTTTCGAGATTACACACATTGCTCTACGAATATTCAAGACTCAGGAGATCAAATCTAACTTTAACTTCCTCTTCTTGGAAGGAGGTACCTTGGAGCTCACCTTAAGAAGAAGGGGGGGGGGGGGGTTTGCTGTGGTTTAATTTGTTTGGTAGCTTTACGGTCAGAATTGGTGCTGCTTGCATTTTAAAGTGCAATGGTTTTTGCCATATTTTTCATTTTCTTTCTCGTCTTTCAGGGAGTGCATCAAATACCGCCTCTTCTGGGGGACTTTTCGGTAGCCCGAAGCCTGCAGATGGCACTGCAACGCCTATATCAGGAGGTCTGTTCGGCTCATGTTCAACGCCATCTGCTACTACAACGTCTTCTGTAGCACTGCATTCAACCTCAAACGTCACCAAGTGGGTTTTCGGGTGTCGTTAGCTTATGTTCTTTACACCTTCACTTAATGCTGACACTGTTGTTATTGCAGCCTTTTTGCCATGTCCAACTTCGGTCTTGGGTCAACTCCAACAACCAATAGTGGTTCGTCGTCTAGTATCTTTGCGAAACCTGCCTCACCTTCAACTGGTATGTTACTGCCTCTTTTATTTCTTCTACAGTGGATGACAATTTTGATAGGAATGTGTAGTATTCAATACTAGAGTGAGAAATGAATTGCATTGTTTGGACACTTTTGGGCTTTAACAGCGAAGAAACTTACAGGATGCTGCAAGTGAGCTTGAGTTCTGCTTAGATTAGTTCAAATTCCGTGTTAACATGAACTTGATATAGGGGTAGAGAAAGAAGTTCCAGAATTCGCTGTGCTCAAGATTGTCATTCTATTATCTTCTCAGGTCAAACACAAGGTCTGTTTGGTTTCTCCTCGAGCGCTACCGACAGCACGACGAACAAACCAGTCGGTCTTTTTGGTACTCCAACGCTAGGCGCTGTCTCGACTGCCGGTAGTGGTGGAGGTTTATTTGGCAGCTCCCCTGCAGCCACGAATCCTACAGGAGGAAGTGGTGGGAGTCTTTTCGGTGGAGGCAGTTCCTCTGGTAGCGTCGGTGGAGGAGGAGGTCTTTTTGGTACTACAGCAGGATCGACTGGAGGTTCTCTATTTGGCGCAGCACCTGCTTTTGGAGCTAGCCCCAACCAGGCTTCTAGTCCAACCTCCATTAGTAGTGGCGGTGGTCTTTTCTCTTCAAACGCTGGTGGGGGGCTGTTTGGGTCCTCTGGAAACACTACAACGGGGAGTCTGTTTGGCGCCGCGCCGAGCTTCGGAGCACCTGCGGTTTTTGGCACGGGCGCTGCTTTAGTCGGGGCAGCCGGGGCTGGTATGAGTCAGTCTGGGTCTGCGACCACGACAGCCGGGGCTGGAGGTCTTTTCGCTTCGTGAGTTTAAGCCGATATTCTACTTTCACGCTCTTCTATTAATCCATCAACAAAGCAACTTTACCATAATCTAAGAGCTCTCTCTCTCCATTTTCAACTATGCTTGTTGGCGAGCGTGTGCCACTGCAAAGATCGGGAAGTGCTTTTGCTTCTCGCTCGCATTGGAACACCAATTAGGCATCTGTGTTGAGTTCCCGTCAGTTTGAAATGTGATTGATGCCAATTTGTCCGTTGAGAAATTCCCCATTGTGTGGTTTTCCAGGCTGAATCAAATACATTACACCAGCATAATAGAATTTGGCAAATCGGTTCTTTTATTGTCTGACTTCTTACGTAGGCGTACATTTTCAATTGCTCAAGGTTAAGCGTGTTAGGCCAAATTGACATTTGCGAATTTTCGCTCCACTTGATTCTATCCCCTCCCCCCCCCCCCCCCCCCCCTACCTTCTTGTCCACAATTTGCAATTTCAATAAAGTTATCTCCTAGTGTGAAAACTGCCTGAACTGTTAACAGGACTCATTAGATCCTGTTGAAGTTGGGGGGCTGATATACTTCTCTTCACCTTCAGGCAGCACTCTCCTTATTGTGCCTTGAGCTGTCTTTTACCAGCAACAAGTATTCGAATGCAATGTAACTCATAAAAATTACTGGGTGATTTTTATTCCCGTCTGCACTCACTATCCCTCCGATCTGAGACCTCTTAGATCACGGGTTCAGCATCTGGCAAATATTGCAACGTCTAACAAATGTGTTTGTAGGCTTCGAGCTTATCTTGCTATCAAGATTCCATGACAGGGGATTGGATAACTGGTGCCTAAAAGTGTCTTTAACGTTTTAATTTTTTCTATTGTGAAAGAGTATATTTAATCGAATTTGTAATCTTTTCAGACTTGGCAGTACCTCCGGAGGACCAACATTTGGAGGTCTTGCTACCTCCCCACAGACTCCTCCCGCTCCTCTTTTCGGTAAGCGTCGTGTTTTATCTACTTATATATAATAAAAGTAGCATATTTTATAAAATGAAAAAAATGCGCCCCTTTCTCAGGTTCAAGTCCCTCATTCACACAACGTCGAGCCTAATTCGGTGGTTTCAGCTTGCCACATGATTCCTCCATATACGAATTTACATATAACACCTACAATCCTGTAACGATATTTCCACTTAATGTGTATTTGTACGTGTTATTTGGAGATATTGATGTGAAATAAATACCTGTTCTGCTCAATTTCCCCTTGTCTTCTCACTTTTGGAAGTTAATGAAGATAATCACCATTAATCTCATCAATTTTTTCAGGCATCATTTGGGCGTAAAAAGGATAAGAAGGCTCTTGTAGAAGAAGAAAATGTTCCACCAGATTTCTACTCCAAGGCTGAAGAGTACTGGGATAACGTAGAGCCCACTGTTGCTGGAATGTTAGGAGGTTTGACACATACCCACAAACCGGATATTGAAAGTTCTGAATCTATTCTCAGTCGATTCGGACCCACTCGCATGGACGTGGCACTCGACTGTGGTGCTGGAATTGGCCGAATTACAAAATTCTTCCTTCTTCCACACTTCAAAACTGTTGACATGGTGGAAGTGTCGCAGAAATTCCTTGACGCCTCTAAAGAATACCTCGGTGAGGAGAATGAGAAAAGAATTGGAAATCGGTTTTGTATTGGCCTACAAGATTTTACACCCCCCGAAGGTCGTTATGATGTCATTTGGGTTCAATGGGTGATTGGCCACTTGACCATTCCGGCCACAATCGACTTCTTCCGTCGATGCGTAATAGGATTGAGACCACCTTGCTCGAAGCATTCTCGCAGATCCATAATTGTGCTCAAAGATAACGTGATCTTATCCGATTCGCCAAATTTCGATGAGACTGATAGCAGTTTTATGCGAACACATAAAGAACTGCTGGAGATCTTTGAGTTGGCAGGTCTTAAGGTTCTGTTAGATGAGCAACAACGTATGCCAAAGGGAATCTGTCCTATTTTTGCCTTCGTACTTGTTCCTAAGTAATGAGTAAATGTGGTTATATATTTACTTTTGGTATTTACTCAATTTCCATTGCAATTATGTGCGCTATTTTTACATACGCTATTGTTTTCATTGCTGGTTTAGTGAAGTGGTGATCAAATTCGATCCTACTGCACATACGATTGGGATCCTAATTTACATGTATCGATTTCAATTCAGGAAACTCCCTCCGATGAATTGGTTAGGTTGGATTCTATAATTTCTGTGTATTTGCAGAGCGTGTTAATTAACGTGAGCATAAAAAAAACGAGGTTGTTACAGACGGTGCATCTGTTGAATGGCATAGGTTGTGTTGGCATCATCTTCCTGGATTCAAAACTCGATGAACTATTTGGTTTCCTCTCGTTCTGCCACGAGTCATCGGCAATTTTTCTGTTTTCTGCTAGTCATTGACTAGTAAAGTGTGTTTGCAGAGCTCTATATTGTTGAAAAACTGGTTTTCATGCCGTTGCTTGGAAAATGTGCCTCAACATAAAGTGTCGTAGGCCGTTTTGGGGAATTTGGGTTGATTCGGTTCTTCTAAAGCTCACCTGAATGATCAGTTGCCAGGATGACCTTGAAATTACTGCTTATAAGCACATGGCTTGGGCAAATTAGTTAAGAACGCAGGTGGATTTTTTCCGAAGGGCGTTTTGATAGTTATCATTAGCCATTTAGCTGACTTTGGGCTTCACAGAGGGGGGGGGGACATTAAAGTGAGAAAAAGTTGATTCACAGGGGGGGACATTAAAGTGAGAAATATTCGAGAGGGGGAACAGAAGAGTGATTCACCGATGTAAAAGAAACAGTCACAAAGGCAGAGAAAAGTTAAGATGAGTACTGTGGAAGGGGTCGAATATGACATACATTGGGGGTGAGGGTAGTTTGAAGTCAGAAGCCAACTACCGGTTTGTAGACTTTTTGCCGTATGAGTTTACGTTGCCCAGGGTGCACCACGTGGAAGTAAGTCTATCGCACACCACAGTTTGCTAAAGATAATATTGTCTATGCATGAAGCCCTAAAAGAAATAGGGTGAAAGCTGAGAAGTCTGAAACTGTCAAATGTGGGCAAGTTTTCACACGTTATCAATGAATCCACAGTTCCATCATCAGTAGGATCAACAACGACTCCCCGTGTCCAATTTCTGGTTTTCTTGTCCCTTGCTAGTGACGATGGTGGTTAATATCCCGCATTTCTAAGACTTGATGACAGGTGCAATGGAAACCTCTTCAGAAGACTGATTAACAAAAATGAGTCATTCCCATATAGATCAAATCTTTCCCTCTATTCCTTTGCATCTGCTTATTCGAGCGGTTGGGTTTTTTCGTTTTTTCTCATGAACTGACATTTTATGGTGGGAAGACAGGTGTCAAGAGGTGAATGGAGTTTCAAGGCGTCAATCTCCTTTCCTACTGCCTCGCTATTGTTGTTACTCGTTGAGCAAAACAAAAATATTTGCTCTGCTCAATTATGTGGAATCTACTAATAATTGAGAACTCGGTCGTAGGTCATTCACTAATTGAAACGTATTATTCATAGAGGGTCTAAATTGGTGATTTCGAGTTCTCGAGATATTTTGAAAGCTGCTGATTCCTACACACTTTCTTAATGGATGTTTAGCTTTAAGAAGGCAATTAAACAGCCAGTCAATCGTTATAGTCTGTTGTGTAACCGCGAAGCTAGGAGTTCCTTCCACACTGTAACGTTGACTTGAACGGAACGTTTCCTCTGATCTCCCAATGCCTCCAGATGTAACCGGCTAGATTTCAAATATTTCCAACAATAAATTTAAAAATTGTGTTCGAAATAGAAGTCTTTTAGAAAATATTAACACAAGCGGTTGGTACTTTGAGCACCAATATAATAATAGTAAGTTAAAGAAAATCACACAGCTGAGTCTTTGAGGATGTTGCCTTGTGAGGTGCCGTAAACAATGACCTGTTTCTCCTGTTGTCCACTCAATCCAGACAAAGTCAGCGAATGCACCGAGCCACTTGTGGTGGGTCTACCAAGAGATTGCATCGATGTGGTAGGAAGAGGTGGGTGGGGTTGTTCAACTATTCTACCCTGCTTTAAGTTCTCTCGCAATTTCGCCGATGCCAGAGCACCCGATGTCGTGGCTTTTTCCGCCTGAACTGGCATTCCAGGTATGGCAGAACGCATCTCACCGTACTTGCTCAACCGAGCGCTCTTTGCGCCGCCCAAAATGGACTGAAGCTTTGCTGCAGGTCCACCGTCACCATCTCTGCTATCAACAACGGATGGAAGAGATCCGGTCATAAAGAGGGATGGAACACCATCTAAATTCGATTGTAATGGGGCGCCTGCAGTGGGTATTGTAGGAGGCGGAAAGTTGTCATAACCGGAGGTCAAATCTGGAGGTAGAGATTGAACAGCTAGTACTCCTCGTTCTTCAAGAAGCTTGCGATAAATCTGCTCGCTGTAATGAGCCATTTGATCCACAAAGAGGCATATGATACTTAAGCAAGTTAGGATTCCTGCTGTAGAAGCTAGGCCAACACCCCAGCCCACTCTATTTCGATCGGAAAATGGCAACCACATTCGGTCTTTAGACATTAAGCTCATTGTTATGGTAATACTTGTCAAGCAGGCAACTAAAAACAATGTAATAAACGAAAGAATTTATTACCAACAACGGATTGAAGAAATATTATCGGGGTATTAGAAAGTTTGCAAAATTTGGTTTCAATTCCAGCAGCATTTTGAAGAATTAATAACAAGCTTCCAAGATTTAAAATTATGCAAACAATAGATAATACTTGAACAATTATGAACCATGCTAAATGACAATCGTAAAACAAATCTCTTACTTACGCGGATTTATCCAATAACGAATATACTTAAATTCCTGTCTAAAAACATACCAGCAACCATTATATGCTTTGGAGATGTAGTCGTCGGCGAAGATAAAATTGTTAAAACAAACCTCCCACAGTCCTAAACGTACGAATCCAGCATTTTCATTCTTGATTGAAACAATCCAATAAGAACAAGCAAAGCTAATTAAGTAAAATAAGTTTTCAAGCAGTGTGAGAATTATGGCAAATAGGAACGATAGTCGCCATAAGCGCAAAATTCGATTAAATATCTCAAATCCCATCAGATAGAATTTGTCATTTTATGAACCGTCCAAATTCAGCTCATAAACAAAATAAAGGTCAAATGTGTAAATTTGGCTAAGTATAACAAGTACTTCTTATTATTCTGCATTTATTCTTTCAAATTACTAGTAAGTAAGCAATTGTTCTATTTAATTTTTTATTTTCAGTCAATATTTTTCTCCTTTTTTGTTATTGCGAATGGATTATTATTTGAATAAACCTGAGAAATGTCAGTATTTAGTACTTGGGAATGGTGTTTTTAAATTGAGTTAAATATTAAAAATAAATCTTAAGATATCAATCTACAAAATGCATATTTGACTTTTTTTGGTAACTACTAGATCTATAGATATTTAACAATAAGCTCTTCGATTTCTGTTATAAATACCGATTTTTAATCAAACTAGACGTATTCTATTTTATATCTCAAATTCATATTGTATTATAGATGTAAAGCCTGTATTACTAGCACTATGCCAGGAACTGCGAGTAGAACTTATGATTTGATTTTTAATTACCCTATGGGAAAATGTTTGCCGTTATAATTTAATCACTTTTCACCTTGTGGAGTTTTTGGTCATAAAGCGGCATTTTTGATATGTCATATTGTCACTTGGAGTGTTTTTCCTTATTATGGATATAATGAAAATTGGCATAAACTATTCACTAAATTCAGGATCACATATAAGACGAATAAGTTATACCTAGCTAAAAGCTTATCATTTTATTGTCATATCTTTATGAAATGCGAAATTACGCACCATCATTCATTTAGGGCCTACTGACAGGATGGAAAGTCTTTATACTCTTCGAACCATACCTAAATGCTGACAGCTAAATGTTTAAATTTCGAAGACAAAACTAAGGACTGCTTCCTTGTGATAGGAACTTTTCGACTTCATAGCGCGTTTAACTTTCTGCAATTTCACAACAATAAATGTGTTAATGTATTCACAACTGTGAAAATTGGCTTTCGGTCGATTTTAATATATTTTTTATTAAGCATTTCATTTTTGGTTAGCAATTTGTCTGCATCAATAGTTCCTTTTTGAATCAACCGAAGAATGAAAACAATCACAGATATTGCAATTGGAAACACTTTGGATTACTATATTTGATAATTCACAATTTGTTTATCTCCTTCTCATCCATCTCGAGTCCCAGTTACACAGGAAAATTTAGTTTAAAATATGTTTTATGTTATCAATAAAACTGTAATTTTGATTGAGGCATCAAGAATATTGACTGAATCACTGAAAGTAATCTGAGCCTGCCAACTCAATAGGCAATTTGGTAGGACTTGCTAGTAAACACACTGACACACATTTTGATGGAAGGTTGTTACTTCGACAATCATTGCCCAAAGTTGGTTGACCGGAATCGGATACGCAAAAATGGATTTTAGGGGTTTGGAGGGGGTCGGGGTGGAGAGAAAGTTTAGAAATCCCACCCCATTTGAATTCGTGTTTATAAATCCTGTTGGCCTTTGATTCTCCATGCCATTGGCAAAAATCATGCGTCCATAAGTACGAACGATACACAATCTCTATCGGTTGACATGAGTACTTGATACAATTTTGTGATTCATTGAGCAATATTGGGGGATATCCTCTGAGAACGATCGAGTTAAACCAATATCAATGGCTTTTGTCGGAAAACTACTTTATATTTATGTTTTTTCAATCTCATATGGCATTTTGTGCCTTCTTTTAAATAAGCAGGCTTAATAATGTAGGTTCACGGATTTATTAGTTTTGAATAAATAGTTTACATATTTTGCGAACTTATGTCAAAAATGCGTCAGATAAGCTCGCAATACAATTATCATAACTTGTATTACAAACAAGGCTATCCTCAGTACTGCAAAGTAACGTGGTGAAATGCCAGTTTACGCACGAACCCAATCCAGTGGTGAAGACGGTGTTATACTAATTCGCATAAAATTTCGGAGCGAGTTTATACAGGCAATCTGTAGAGCCCAGTGCTGACAAGATGGTTTTGTGGAACCCGGGTTGAGCCTGAATGAATTTCCCAGGTAGCCCCACAAAACTACTAGGCCTTTTAACTATCACCAAACCGTGACGAAACTATGAACGGTACAAGTGACAGATTGCGTTTCTAATGCAAAGAGCATAGATTGCGTTTTCTGGCCTAACAAGTTGGACGATTAGTCGAGAAACATGTTTGGAAATAAGTGCGAAAAGTCAGAAGATTCTAGGGGGAAAAGGTCTTAGCCAGACCACATGTTTGTACGGACTTGCTGGTCTGTTCATTGGCTGCTCATTATTGGTTGTTGAGGTTGGTAGCTTAGGCAAAATCAATCTCCTCAGAAGTGGCGGGCACTAAATAATCAATAACTATTGGTCATCATAAAACAGTTGGTAAATACCTCATATTTTCTTTTTTTCTATACCCTGATCGGGTTCCGGATGATGGCGGTCTTTTGAAGTCTCCTTGGCTTTGTCGAAAGCGCGGATAGAAGAGTCACTTATTCCCGCAATCATCTCCAAAATATAGGATTGTCACCGCGGTTCACACTTTTCAATTGTATGTATTAATGTACTAGCATTACAAC